AAAAGCTCATTGCCTAGAGGATTCATAGATCATGGGCAATCCAAAGAATATGTAAACTTTTTATTTTGAGTTGTCATTTGTCGTGAGCAGACAATGTCAAATGATACCAATTTCGTAGTTCTTTTTCTTGTTTCCTCTTTGTTAGTTGTTATGAAATTATTTTGAGAGCCTTTGATTTAAAGAAATTTCTAAAAAATAGCCGTCAAATTTTTGTTTTGTCCCATCCCCCTTTATTAGTTGTTATAGGTCTAAACTTAGGTTAAGGACAAGAAGATTTAAAACTCAAAGATGAAGTGAACTAACCATGGGGTAAAGGCTCAGTAAGGACATTACCTAGAGGATTCATGGAATATGGGCAATGCAAAGGATATGTAGAATTTTCTTTTGAGTTGTCCTTTGTTGTGAGTAAACAATGTTCAATGGTATCAATATCTTGGTTCTTCTTGTTTCATCTTTATTAGTTATTATAAGATTATGAGCATCACGACATGGCGCTATATAAAAGATTGAATCGTCTTCAATATCTAAAAAACTCGACCCACTTTTTCCAGATATTATATAGCTTTTATTTTTAGGCTGAACAATCAAGGTTAAGGAGATATTAATTTGTGAGCCCTCTACTTGAAGAAAGTTCCAAAAAATAGTAGTTAAATCTTTGTTTTGTCCATTCCCCCAATGGACATGAGGTCAAAAAAGGGGTATAATTAAAAAAAGGTGGCATTCATAGAAACAAATATTTTTTAAAAAAATAGGATTAAAACATTATACCCCTTTTCGGTGAGAGTATAAACAACAAATACACATGTTAAGGCTAAGGATTTAAGTTTAGCTTTCATTTTATTTGTTATCCATTCGGCATACCTTCTAAATTTCTTATAATCATTTATAAATCTTAGTATTATTAGATTTTCCACCATCTAACGCCATCTGTTTTCATGTGCTCTCACTATTGGCATGTTCAATAGCCCTACTTTCATCATTTAGTGGGATTAAGGCTTTGTTGTTGTTGTTGTTGTTGTGCCCTTTGTCATAGTGATTCTAAAGGGATGTTTGGTTTACAAACATCTCAAAAGATGCGAGTTGTTTGGTTTGTTGACATCTCTAAATAATAATGTATAAATAAATCCTATGTCCTAATTTAATAAGGAAAAAAGTTTCAACTAAAATTATTCAACATTTGGAGAAGTCCAAACATCTCACTATTTTGTCCATTACAACAACAACAACAAAGCCTTAATCCGACTACGTGGGGTCGGCTACATGAATCCTTTTTCTCCATTGCATCATGTTTAGTGTTATATTTTCCTTTAGTTCTAGTAAATTAAGATCATTTTTTTATACAATAAGCCCAAGTCTTCCTAGGTCTACCTCTGCCTTTCTTAACACAAGTCGAACCTAGAACATCTACTCTCCTAATTGAATCATCAGATGGTCGACGTTTAATGTGACCAAACCATCTAAGACGACTTTCTCTAATTTTGTCCGTCACAGGAGCTACACCAACCCCATCACGGCATTTTGTCTCAGTGTAAAGCCACTCATCCACCTAATCATTCTCATCTTGGCAACACTTAACTTTTTATTATGCTTCTTTTTTAAAGGCCAACATTCAGTGCCATAGAGCATTGCAGGTCTCACCACCATCTTATAAAATTTTCCTTTCAGTTCAAGCGGTACTTTTCTATCATACAAAAGGCCCGAAGCATTCCTCCACTTCAACCAACCAACTTGAATTCTACTATTAACATCCTCATCTATATCACCATCGCTTTGAGCAACGGACCCAAGGTATCTAAATCGATCACACATTCTAATAATTTGATCACCCAAAATCACACTTTTGTCACTAAAGCTACTACTACTAAAATAACATTCCATGTATTCAATTTTAGTTCTACTTAGATGAAGGCCTTTAGACTCCAACGTAGACCTTGATAATTCAAGTTTTTCCTGGGCTTTTTCTCTCGTTTTATCCACGAGAAGGATATCATCAGCAAAAAGCATACACCAAGGTAC